CTTAGATTTTTTAAAAGCTATTGGCAACGTGCCTCATCGACTTTACATGGTGGAGGTTGCAAAGTTAGGTTTAACTGACCCATTTTTATCATGGCTCTGAATGCCTCAACACCAAGATTTTTACAAGGTTTACTGTATACCAACGACCACTCAAATAACATTATCTTGGCAGCAGTGATCTATGCAGGCAACTCAAAGATCTGGAGGTTCATATGAAGTGAAATAGATACACATGAGCTTCAAAAGGACCGTACAGAAATATAGGAATGGGCAGTAGATAATGGGCTAAAACGTGACCTGTCGAAATATCGTGTCATAAACATTCTACCTCGCTCATCCCGAAAAACTTACTTCATCACGGAAAACTGCTCTCAGTTGTCTGATCAGAAAACGATATCAGGCACGTAAACACATGGAGCTTAGATACCAGCTCGAACTAGATGAAGGATGCGACTACGGCGAACTTTGCGCAGTCATCCCAGAGTTTTTGATGACACTTATTGAAACGTAGACATCGCCTCACCACGAAGCTCATAATGTCGTTCCACCTCCTCTCTTCAAAAGGAATATAAATCTCCTGGATGAAGTAAAGATACGGGCAACTGTTTCAATTACATGTCTGAAACATAAATCTTACGAGAACTAACCCCAATACCTGAGATTATTTTTGTTGAGTTACAAACAATCAACTTGTCCAACAACAGTATTTTATGTATGCCAAGCCATCCTGACACGAACATCTTATAAGAATATGGCCACCACGCTCCTTCGAGGTGACCCCTAAGAAATTGAACACCAAAAAATAAAAAAAACAAGTAAGTTCTCAACTTTTACCGCCAAAAGTTGTCCCTACTTGGAATTCTTTTCCATGTGAAGTGACAACAGGCTCTTCAGTGGATGGCTTCAAGAGGAGACTTGATAAACACGTACCTACCCACGAATTACTATCTCCTTCTTGGACCAGTCACGTCTGATACGTCTCTCGTAAAATACTTCGGTTATCATTACCGCGAAGCGGTTACCGTTTTCTATCTCTAACATTATGTCAATCTCCCCTCTTATTCTTACAATTCAGTCGTCTTACAAATTACCGATAATTTACTTTACCAATTTTTTTACTCATGAAATAATTGTCTACTCTTATTTCTCTATTATTTTCCACGATTAACCAACTGCCTTGTAATGTGATAGCTGCTGGTATCCAGAAACCCTACTATCCTTAAACAAACACACTTTCCCAAACTACAAGAAATACAAATTCACAAATATCTGGCTAGAATTTGTGGGGAGTAGTGTAACGTCGTGTACTCTATTACACCTACATAGCTTATTCTAGTTTCTGGACAAGCCAATTCACCTATAACGTTATGAGTCATATTTTGATCTTGTTAATTATTCGCTTATTGACCTTGACTATTTTTTTATATTAGCGTATGTGTATGCACCCTTCTTATCCTACCTATCACATGTCTGTCATTCATTTTAGTCTGACTATAAATGTTGATTAATGCTTGCTTATAACGAGTTGGCTTCCCAGCCATCTCCACTCTGCGTCATCTTTCCTTCGCTTGCTTACATTTGCTAATGTGCTCACTGCCTTCTAGCCCATGTTATTTATCAATAAAAATGTAGTTGCTGCTTCCCTTTGTCTTCTGATATTATACACCGTTCAGATTGTTATAATAACGGTTATCAAGACGATCGATTAACGAGGCACTACACTACATATTGGTAATCCCGACGTACGAACACGCAACACTATTGGCGATCCCGAATTACGAACGCGAAGCAAAGTTGGCAACCTCAACGTACGGCTACATATTGGTTAGCCCTACATGCGAACACTCAACATATTGGTTAGCTATATTTGGAACACGCAACAGAATTGGCGACCACAACGAGCGAACACAAACCAAAAATGGAACCGTCGACGACATATTCCGTTATGATTCAAATAATTATCACAAGCTCATTATTACAATAATGTCATATCATCATCTAACGTGGAATTATTATTTTTGTTCGTATTGACATTAAACTATGACATTTACGCGGTCATATCACTAATCGAACAAATTATAATGATATGGACAATACACGTTATGATATTCGAAACTCACTGGATTATTTTTATTATCCAATGACGTACAATTTTCCTGATTCAAGTGAGTTCGTTCCAATTTTTTTCATGTCATTTTCGGTCTAATATTGCACTCTATCATAGACATAAGTTTGGAGTCATACTCCCGATAGTAGGAACTTATGTTCTCGATAGACAACTGATGTTCATTCATCTCATCGGTACTCAGCAATCGTCGTTTTCTACTTTTTACGCGACAACCTTAACTGAGCTTCAGCAATTTTGGTTTCACGATGATCCCTACTTTAATGTCTATACATAAACCAAGTATTTGACGCCGCATTACCAGCCGATTAGTAATGATTATGTTCATATTATTTATTCATTCACATGTATATCTGAATGCTGCATCATCCGTTACCTATAATCACAATTCGATTACTGCAATTAATATTTTATTTCCATTGTACTGTACACCAGAACATAGAGTTTAGAGCTAGTCTCTCAAAGTTACACTCTTGTTCGTCACATTCAAGTCAGTCTCACTCGCCGTCATCGAAAATCATATGTATTGGTATTTTTATCATGCCTTAAAACGGTTTCGTAACAAATGAGGTTGAGCACATATCCCTCTAACTACACAAACCGCGCTAGGCTTCTAGACCAAAAAGGAATACGACTCCGCATATTTCGTCTAAGCAGTCACTATCCTGTTCCTCTGGTCATTCTACTAATACATATTTAACGATAACTCAACGCAAGCGTTAGCGCACGCTGATTTCGCATTTTATTATCATAATCAATTGCAGTACAGCAATGAATACAACCTGTTGATGCAGTCATCTTCCTACGGCTGGATTACTTCTTATCCCACATAAACTTCAGTTATGTAAATTCGAATACACTCATCGCTAAGCGACTCTATTTACTCTACTGCGACTTATCAGAACATCATATTTCACTGTTCTTCATTCTCATATTCAATTGGCACTACAGACCAATTTTAATTATATTCTACATTACTTATTTCCACGATTTATTCCGCTGTCATACCCATAAACAATTTATTGCTCTATTTTCACGATATTTCGAATCGCTCATACAAACATGTTATTTTATCATCCGGACAGTCTCAACATAAATGCATGTTAAATTTTTTGTACGCTTACTAATTTACTCATAATCACATGCCAACATTTCTATTTCTGTCCTCATTTTGACAATTTTCATGTACATTTTCACATAAGTGTGACATTTTCGTTCAATAAACTCGCCCCTCGATTGACACTGTAACATATTCGATATAGTACAATTTTTTTCTCTACCTATTATTAACGTTATCCATATGCCATTTCAGTGTTATTTTCAAATTAATGTGCTATTACTTTAATTTTGGTTTGTGAACGCATATACACCTCCTCCCCCTTGTTTATTTTGCATAACAGTGTTTCCTCCGGACACTCTGGGGGGAGCTATGTGGGGAGTAGTGTAACGTCGTGTACTCTATTACACCTACATAGCTTATTCTAGTTTCTGGACAAGCCAATTCACCTATAACGTTATGAGTCATATTTTGATCTTGTTAATTATTCGCTTATTGACCTTGACTATTTTTTTATATTAGCGTATGTGTATGCACCCTTCTTATCCTACCTATCACATGTCTGTCATTCATTTTAGTCTGACTATAAATGTTGATTAATGCTTGCTTATAACGAGTTGGCTTCCCAGCCATCTCCACTCTGCGTCATCTTTCCTTCGCTTGCTTACATTTGCTAATGTGCTCACTGCCTTCTAGCCCATGTTATTTATCAATAAAAATGTAGTTGCTGCTTCCCTTTGTCTTCTGATATTATACACCGTTCAGATTGTTATAATAACGGTTATCAAGACGATCGATTAACGAGGCACTACACTACAAATTCGTGCAGTCGAAGACAAGACTAGTACCTACTGGACATTGTTAAATACCAGAAACCATACCGAAACGAAGGGGAGAGAGAGTGTGGTGGACCAACAATTAAATGAACTCAGAAATGACAATAAATTTATTGCGTCCAAAAGTTAACGTTATAATATGTCAATTATAATTTATAAACTCAGAGAAAAGTTATGTGACGTTAATGACGTCGGCAGGCTTGGGCGTTTTCTAGTTGCATATGGTACCATAATCCACAATTATGGGTAATTAATAATTCCAATAGGGTTGTTTTATTTCCTGAGATATAACCAAATGTAGTATATAACGGAAATGTGGCTGTAGTCTATAAATGTAGATAATAGATATTCTGTAGTTCATTTATCACAACCATAGGCAATCGAGAACAAGAGACGTGTGTGCAACAGTGTATTTACGAGCGGTTAACAGGCCGTATCATGCCATGAGTGATTCAAAACAGAAGAGAGAGTTCAAGGTCATGTTCTCAACTTTGATAAGCAAATGGTTCACATGGTTGTGGACGGAATAGAAGAAGCTTTCGCTTAACAGGCTTCCGTGTCTAGCAGCAGTGGATCACCAATACCTCCAGACAGGGACCTAGGTATATTAACGATGATAGGAAGAGAGGAAAATGGGTAAATCATTATAAGATGTTATCCTTAGTCAAGTTTCCTCTTAATGGACTACTGGGAAGTAAATTTACAAACTGTACAAATTAACAAAATAAGTGTGAATAATATCGAAAACTGTTCGCAAAATAAGTTTGTCACGCCTATCTCCACAAGAGCAACGAGCTCGTGACGATTATATTGGGTATTGAATACTCTTAGGCATAAACTAAGTGTATAAAGCGGCAAATCAAGTGATGTAAACATTGTCAGGGTCAATAGTGTGGATACGTTTGAAAGATTAAAATACTGGTCTAATGATGCATGATATTGCTTAGCCATTTATTCACCTAAATTTGTCACTATATACACAATGGTTGCTCCATCTGGAAGTTTTGCTGGCAGTAAACTGAATGAAGGTATTTGTCATTATATTCTGCTACACTAACACCTGAAATAAGTTTTAGCGAAGGATATTGAAGTAAAACAACTATTACACAATGAAGTTAATGAACTTAAATCCAAATCCCATCTACTTCAAAAGAATCTTGACCTTAAAACATCACATTTTGAAAAGCTGAAACGTGACTTCATTTTTAACTTTCGATTGATCAAGGAGCGAGATTTGGCGATTAACAAACTGAGTGAACGTGTCTTATCTCTGACTAATGTAAGGATTTCCTAGCCATGAGTTCAGTAATATATGAAACTTGAAAAAAAAATGTAATAACCAACATCAGCGACATATCTGACCGCTTAGGAATAGAGACACGCTAATAATTATTTATTTAATTTTTTAGTTCATAACAAACTTTTCTGGTTTAATGTCGACTGTAAGCCTATAGGCAATGCTCCTCTTCTCGTCTTGCAAAAACGCAATCGATAACATGATGTTCCTATAACTAACTTTACGACGAATTAGTTATGGTAGGGGTAGGATTAAACTATACTGCCGAGCCAATCAGAAGCTTTCGCGGGTTTTGAAGGTCAGGGCGCTAAGTTCGGTACTTGATGCTTGCGTACGATCGATTTAAAGAGGATTTTAAGGAAAACGTGATAATTTAGCGTCTACAAGAGAATTGATCATAAGATTTTGGCGCGAAATTCAATTATCCATTTGGATAAATAGAGTTTTGGCATTATAGCTGATGTCAGTTCGTGATGAAAACCCTAAGTATAATTCCTAGCCTTAATCATGAACTGTAAATCATAATTTGAATTTTTCTTACAGGTTTATAACCCTCATTTGGTCTTAGTTATTATTTGACGCTCTCAGAGTCACTCTAGCGTCGCTCAAAGGTCGTTCATAAATTATAGTCTCACCCTTAACCCGAAACCTTAACTCTAACCCTAAACCGTAAAACCATATCAATATGCCAACAACATTGAAGCTATGTGGTCGAGGCTAAAAGAATTTTTGAGACCTTATCATGGTTCCAGTGGTCGACTACTATGGAGCCATATGGATGAGTTCCTGTATCGGATGCATTATGTTTTTAAAACTTCTGAACCAATACCTAAGCTTGATAAGTTTTTAAGTCATGTAAAAGAACAATATCCCCTCTAATTTTTGAGTTTAGTATAATATATTTTTACTGTATACTAACTGTCTTCTGATGGGCTAATATTTCTCAAGGTCATTTAAGATTCGTTCAAAGGTCGGCAGTATAGTTTAATCCTACCTCTGTTCTTTAACGAGATACGACCCGATTCGTGCACATTCTTACTGTGCTCAGCTATTTATGACTTCTTACACCTTCATTTTTAAATATTCTTTGTCCCTTTTAGCGCACTGTTTTCTTCCAGAATTATATGGGCTTTACATTTACGTTTTTTTGTGTTTTAGAATCACAAACTGAGGGTATTAATAGTGGGTCTGTTAGATTGACCAGTAGAAAATTTTAACGTGGGTTTAGCACCTTATTCCCAGTGAGCATAAACAGATTTTTTTAATTTAAAAGCTCTCTTTTTGGCAGATTAAGAGATGTAAATGTCGTTACCAAGCTCAAATTTAGTAATTTCAAAACTATTGGCAATTACGCAGAATCCTAGTGACAAAGTCATGATATATTTGAGACGTCCCAGTCAGTACCGATTAAGATACCAGGAATACATTAGACTAAACAGTGCTTTACAACAATAAATATTTGCTAGAGAATGATTGTAGACGCAAAGCGACGCCAAAATGACCTTGAGAATGTCCACCTAACTAGAACTACATGAGGGTTGTAAAACAGTGTGAGGAATTAGAATTATGATTTATAGTTGATGGTTAGGATTAGAGTTTTCATCACGAACTGACATCAGCTAAAATTCCAAAGCAATATTTAGCCAAATGGATGAAGAGTTTTACGCCGAAATCCAAGATCTTTTATCGTAAATCTGACTGGTTCGTCCATAAATTATAGTCCTACCCGAAAACCTAGTTATCAACCGTTTCTTTTTAGTGTAGAACACTTCAACAGTGCTCACTCATGACTTTGCGATGTATTCAAGACATAGTCACGTGGCAGGCGCGTTACAACCAAACCAGAGTATGAACCTAATAATTCAGATTATTAACTTCAGTTAATATCTGATCTAGTACAACGATTATCGAACATTATTAAACGTTTACTTTATTGCCGTTCTAATCATCCAAACATATACAAAAGCATCATATGTCATTATCGTATTTTACATACTTTCCTTTCCATACAATAAATTTTCACGAGTCATTAAGCAGCGTAGAGTTCTTATAATCAATGCTTAACTGTTGTTTGTTTTTTCTCCAGAATATTCACTCAAGAGATATTCTAATTAGCGAAATCAAAGTTTCTTTAGATCGTACACAATCAGAGCTTGCTCAAGTCAAATCATCAGAGGCAAAATTAAGAGAGGATATTGAAGAATCTCTCCGTGAAACTGTCAAACGAGAACAAAAGCTACTTGAAAAACACAATGCAATAATTGAGGTATTGAGAAAAACTGAAACTGAAGAACGCATCAAATTGCAAAATAATATTAATCGTCTTCAGTCAGAACTTGAGAAGGAAAGACTTCATGCTGCTGTCGAACTACAAACTGCAATCGATGACGCAGTGAAAGAGAAAGAAAGTCTCAGAGCTGATAGTGCACAAAAAATCTTTGACCTAGAATTACGTATCCATCTTGCAAATGAGTCTGTTGAACTAGCTAATAAAACTAAACATGATTATATGCAAGAATTATCATGTAAAGAGGAAGAAATAAGCAATTTAAACTGTAAACTAAACGAATTAAACAAAATAGTTGAATCACAAAGGCTTGAAATTCGAGATTTGCACACACGGTTAATTGAATCTAAACTGAAACAAGATTTACTTGAATCAACTAAAGTTCAAAACGAAGAACTAGCAACATCACAAAAAGCTGAGCTTACTGAAGAAATTGATAAATTGAAGTAAGTTTATAAGCACTGCATTTGCCTAAAGTACACATGACATTTTGGGATAATCAGAATTATATATATATATATATATATCCACTTTTTATGTAACAAACAGTACTCTACGGGAAAATTCCGTTCTTCATTAGCGTGAAGTTATACGTAATCATTTGGTTTTCAAGTTCTCTAATGAGTAATATTCTACCCAATCAATTTTCATCATCTGAAATGTTATTTGTTTTTAGTCAAAGTGACTACTTGCTTGACGATTTAAAGCTTCTGTAACAATATCAGACATTAATTGTCTAATGAAATACTAGGAAAAAGTGATCTCTTATGTTGGTATAGGTATGAGGATAGTTATTACTTTCTGATTGCGCTTAGTGTGCTCCTTATTAAGGACCTGGAAGGAAATGCTGGTTGGATAGGTAGTTTTGACTACCTGATAGTACGACCGCAATGTCGAGATGACTGGTTAGTGCCAGTTATACAAGGCCTTAGCTCCATACTTTACGATACTTTATCACTCGCAATGGAAATTTGAAAAGTAAAATGAGGTGTGTTGTATACATATATTCCGTTGATAGTTTAATAATAGGACCTACTGATTGTGGAAAATTTATTGATAAAATTCCAGGAGTTGAATTTATTTTTAAATAACAGTTAATTGATTGAGAATACCAGGGTAATTGATCCGTTTTGGAAAAATATCTTATCAGAATAAAGTGATTGGAACCATGTCTTTTGGTTGCTCATTTTTTCAACGAAGAGTAGGAGGACAAAATTTGCCAACAATCTTATCTATGAAGTTATATTTTTGTAACCTATGATATGACTGCCATTCGGAGGAACGAATGAATATAAGCCTTCCGTTTAACTCTATATGTTACATCTAGGCTTACTCCTTTTGGGCGGTGACGGAAATGAGAAGCCAAATACATTTTAGGCTGGGTGAGTTTATTTCATGTTCTCGTTAAATCAGAGAAATACTAAAACAAGGAGCAGGAAGTTAAGTATACCAACTCGTGCTAATAAAGCGTGACTTGGTATTTATAGCCAGACAAAAATAAATTAAAGACATGTGATGAATAGGATAAGCGATACACAAGCTCAAATACAAATAGTCGGGGTTATAGGCAAATATTTGACAAGGTTAAAATGTGACTCATGAGGAATAAATTAATAGATCTGTCCATAATCTAGAATAACCCATATCAGCATGACATAGAACTAGACGCTACATGTTCATCATGATAAAAATTAGGGCTTCAGTCTAGATGTAATTGAACTTTATAAACTTGAAGATGTTTTCCACCATTGAACACAGTTGGACCTCAGTATATTCCTACATTTATTCTAATATCTTTATCTCCCAAAGAAAAAAAGACAATCAAGGTAGTATTCAACATTTTATATCATTGAACACTTTATGATAAGTTGTGGTCATGTTTCAGGGTTCTTAGTGAATGTTTTCTTTAGTCTGATCTTGGTTTCATCTCATGATATGTGTTTTGTTTAATGAATAATGCATCCTGAAAATTTTGCTTTATAGATTTTATTTATTTTATGATGAAAACTAAAAACATTTTATTCGTATACCATCAAACTGAAAATAACCAATCTAAATAAAATTTTCAAAAATGTTTATCGTAATACAGAGAAACTTGAAATCTTTAACAAATTTATACATGTCCCAGTAGACCCACTTCATGATATCATAGTTATTTATTTATTTATTTAAACACATAAATATTGTTACAAGTAAGTACCAAATATATAGGCGCCGCACAAATCTCATTTGATTTGTGTATGAGGGCTGTGATACTGCGCGGGTACCCAAACCGAAACAGGTGGTTTTCTTAAGGGGGGCCACACCGTGAGCCTTTGACCTAAAGGTCTGATCTACAAGGCAGTGGAGCATCGTGAGGAGATTAAGTCCCATGGTAGCCGGTGACCAACGATTGGTTCATACGCCATTTATCCCCTCATTATATTGGAATCCATGTGCACCATTGCTTTGTAATCAGGGTTTTCCAACTCCCCTAGGTAGATCCTCCGTGTCCACCAACCCGGTTAAAGCGCCGGACATTTTCTTTTAGTCCTCTCAATTTTGTAAACAACAACCCCACCAAGAGAAGGCAGTGAGTAGGACTTCTTTGACAGAGGCTATATACGCGTGGCCATGTGAGAGCATTTGGAGAGGGAGAACGGACTCTATCCACTCTGAGTCAAATATTAAACTAATGCATTTTTAAAGAGGGTAAAACTAGTGTATCATAGTCTGCATGATGACGGTTGGAGTATTTATTTGATACAGTTGTATAACAGTTAAAATAACTTTCTGAAATGCTTTATGTTTAACACGAACACATTTTTATAGGTTAAATCACCAACTGATCTTAATTAAACAACTACTGAAAAATAGGAAGTATTAGACAAGTGTTTCATCCCATTATGAGATCCTTCAATAGTGAGAATTCACAACTTGCAGGGGGGTTTAGTTCAAGACCATTGGATCTCGAAGTGAGCGTTTAATCTTTGAGATACCTAGTTAAGAGCAAATGGTTTATATTTCTAACTTCATACTCACTCCATAATTCTTTAATACTAACAATAACTGATCTATAGTGGAAAGAATTCCAACGGTGATGTGTGTCCATGCAAACAATACACGAATTTCGCATGTACGAAAGATATCTTTTAATGTAGTTCAGTGATATTTAAGAGTACTAAAGTCAGTCACAGAAAAATTAGTATAGGTTTGTTGAATTAAGCTGCCAACCTACAAATGACCATATTGAAAGAAGAAATATAGCAAAATGACAACTGAATAATTTAAAGTAATTGTAGTAAAAACTAGACATAAATCTATTTCGCATAGAAAGAGTGAGATTGGAGAGTATGAGTAAGTGATAATATTGCAAATCAGAATTTAAAGTAAGCCAAACAATAAATGCATCTATGACATTGAAATTCAATTCTTAAACCATCCCTATTAAGGTTGTAGATGATTAATGCCGAGGAATCTCATACTAGAATGAAACAAACATCCGTAATGTGAAGCATATTTATACACATATAAGTTGCTATGTTTTTTGTCACTATGATATCATGCCCCCAAATGCTCTGGTACGGCGAAGAGTGGACAGAGTCTGCTCTCCCTCTCCAAATGCTCTCACATGGCCATGCGTATACAGCCTCTGTCAAAGAAGTCCTACTCACTGCCTTCTCTTGGTGGGGTTGTTGTTTACAAAATTGAGAGGACTAAAAGAAAATGTCCGGCGCTTTAACCGGGTTGGTGGACACGGAGGATCTACCTAGGGGAGTTGGAAAACCCTGATTACAAAGCAATGGTGCACATGGATTCCAATATAATGAGGGGATAAATGGCGTATGAACCAATCGTTGGTCACCGGCTACCATGGGACTTAATCTCCTCACGATGCTCCACTGCCTTGTAGATCAGACCTTTAGGTCAAAGGCTCACGGTGTGGCCCCCCTTAAGAAAACCACCTGTTTCGGTTTGGGTACCCGCGCAGTATCACAGCCCTCATACACAAATCAAATGAGATTTGTGCGGCGCATATTTATCTGGTAACGAAAGAACACATTACGCCAATAAATAGAGGCAGACATGAGAAGAATAAACAAACATTGGATAGAACTAGAAAGGAACGTCCATGTCAGAGTGTGTTAGAGAATGCTGTTCGGCGGCCTATACTTCATTGAGAGTAACAGGGCGTAAGTAAGTAAGTAGTAATATATATATCTGATACCCCTTTATACTCCTTAAAGTCTTTAAAAGACCAATCTTTTTTTCCAGCTAACTATTCATCATTTCAGTTTTCATCATCATAGTATCAATCTTGTATATTTTCCTTTAACTCAAAAAAAAAAAAGAATTTTTTATTTAGATTAAAATTACAACAATATAAAGAAGAACTCATGTCTATGAATATGAGACATAAGAAACAAGTTAATTCTCTCCAAATTCAAAATAAAAAATTAACAGAATCATTAAATGAAGAAAAACAAAAAACTAAACATACTACTTATTTATTAAAAGAAGAAAAACTAAAATATCATAATATTCAATCTATTTATCATATATCACAAAATCATATAAAACAACTTAATGAAGATTTAAAACATGCTTTAATTAAACCTAATATACATTTAAATGATATACAATTTAATCATAATCATAATGATCAATTAAATGATTTAATTAATAATTATAAACAATTAAATAATGAAAATATTAAATTAAAACAAATTATTAAAATTATGTCAAAACAAGCTAAACAATTTATTCAATTATCATCAATCAATAATAATAATGATAATCATAATCAATTTAATAAAATCAATAATGATAATCCATTCGATAAAATCAATAATGGTATTGATAATCCATTCAATAAAATCAATAATGATAATTCATTCAATAAAATCAATAATGGTAATGATAATCCATTCAATAGAATCAATAATGATAATTCATTCGATAAAATCAATAATGATAATCCATTCAATAAAATCAATAATGATAATTCATTCGATAAAATCAATAATGATAATTCATTCAATAAAATCAATAATGATAATGATAATCCATTCAATAGAATCAATAATGATAATTCATTCAATAAAATCAATAATGATAATCCATTCGATAAAATCAATGATGATAATCCATTCAATAAAATCAATAATGGTATTGATAATCCATTCGATAAAATCAATAATGGTAATGATAATCCATTCAATAAAATCAATAATGGTAATGATAATCCATTCAATAGAATCAATAATGATAATTCATTCGATAAAATCAATAATGATAATCCATTCAATAAAATCAATAATGATAATTCATTCGATAAAATCAATAATGATAATTCATTCAATAAAATCAATAATGATAATCCATTCAATAAAATCAATAATGGTAATGATAATCCATTCAATAGAATCACTAATGATAATTCATTCGATAAAATCAATAATGATAATCCATTCAATAGAATCAATAATGATAATTCATTCAATAAAATCAATAATGATAATTCATTCAATAAAATCAATAATGATAATAATCAATTAATTAAAGCAATTAAACAAATTTATCAATTAACAATAGATAAACAATTGTTAATTGAATTAAGTAATAGACTACAATTTAAATTAGATCAATTAATTAAAAATCAATATAATAATAATCATAATTTAATAATGAAAGAATCTTTAAATAATAGTATTGAATCTAATAATAAGATAAATAATGATGTAAATAAAACTTATTTGGATAATAATCATAATAATGATCATGATCCAGATCATCATTATCATCATCAACATCATTATAATATTACTGATAAAGATGATATTGATTCTATTATAACAGGAAAAGGATCTATTTCTAATGTATTTAAACTATTAGATGAAGTTGCATCATTAGGTAGTGAAAATGATATTGAAATTTTACATGGTAATAGATTAACTATTCAAGGAAAACATATCAGTAATTCTAAATTAAAAATGATTAAATAAAAGTGGATACCTTTTTGATGTACACATTTATTTATGATTTACATAATTAACAAATATTGAAAGAAATTTTTTCTTAAATTATTGTGATCATTTACAGAAATCTATATAATATCTTACTTACTTACTTACTTACGTCTGTTACTCCCAATGAAGTATAGGCCGCCGACCATCATTCTCCAACTCACTCTGTCCTGAGCCTTCCTTTCTGCTTCTATCCAGCTGTTGTTCATTCTTCTCGTGTTTGTCTCCATTTCTCGGAGTAATGTGTTCTTCGGTCTTCCTCTTCTCGTTAGGCCTTCAGGATTCCATGTGAGAGCTTGTCTTGTGATGCAGTTGGGGGATTTCCTCAATGTTTGTCCCATCACTTCTAGCGCTTCTTCCTCCTTTGAAATCTGGTCTGTTCTCTCTCACAGTAGAATGTTGCTGATAGTGTCTGGCCAACGGATCCAAAGTATTTTGCTTAGACAACTGTTGATAAACACCTGTATCTTCTGGATGATGGCTTTCGTAGTTATCCAGGTTTCTGCCCCATACATTAGAACTGCTTTGACATTTGTATTGAAAATTCTGATCTTGGTGTTGGTTGACAATTGTTTTGAGTTCCAGATGTTCTTCAGTTGTAAATATGCTGCTCTTGCTTTGCCTATTCGCGCCCTCACATCTTCATCAGATCCACCGTGTTCATCGATGATGCTGGTCAGATATGTAAAGGTTTTCACATCCTCCGAAGCTTCTCCGTCAAGCGTAATTCCATTGGTGCACGCTGTATTGTATCGGAGAGTCTTGCTTTTCTCTTTGTTTATATTGAGACCTACTGCTGCTGAGGCTGCTGCTACACTGGTCGTCTTCTCGTGCATTTGTTGTTGCGTGTGTGATATAAAAGTCAGATCATCTGCAAAGTCAAAATCGTCCAGCTGCACCCTAGCTATGTAATATCTATGATTAATTTATTATTCATATTAAACTAAAGGTAATCATCATACATAATGAATTCAAATATAAATAAATATTTATCAGTCTCGCGTGCGAACGCTTAACCATTAGCCCATTGAGTCGACCGGCATCCGACGGTGTTAATGTCTAATTCTAACCAAGCCACGAGATTGAGCAACCCTTCACCAATGTCTTCAGTTAGTTGATGTCTCACAACAAACCAGGTTGAACTCCACTGGTCACTGCTTCTCACTAGAACTTCAGGGAATATCTCTTGAAGCTAGTCACTAGTGAGCATACGATTATTATCAGAAAGGAGTTTGTGGAGATTTTAGGTCCTGAGTTCGAATCTCGCAAGGCGGGATTGTGGATGCGCATTGCTGAGGAATCCCACATTAGGATGAAATGGCCATCCAGTGCTTCTGGGTTTTCCATGGTGGTCTAGCTTCAATTGACTCATGATTTCAACTATATAAAATTAATGAAATCTCCACAGAAAACCCCTTCTGAAAATATGTACCACAAAAAATATGGTTTGTTTTCTTTTTATTCAGTTGAATGAATGTTATATCAAGACTAAATACGATAAACAAATATTTTATGCTAACCGCAGAGTAGATTACAGTGTTATAGACGTATGCATTCCATGTCTTCCTCTAAATTTTAAATATATTATTATTATATACTTAGTTTCATATCATTTATTTGTGCTTTCTATAAGTAACTTGAACCGATTCACATGTGCGCCAGATCCTACATGATTGATGATAGCAGATTCACTAACTGAACTTCTATGATTTTTTGACGATCCTCAACTGTGTTTGTAGAAGGGTGGTGTTAAGATTGTCAGTTCCACTCTACCCATATTATGTAAGGATACTTCTTACTGAGGAAACTAAAAAAGGAACTAGGTTAAAGGGTGAACTTAGTGACCTAGGAGTGTAGCTACATGACCAAAGAGAAAATTACTCGAGGCCGCTCACACATAGTTCTTTCATGAATACTTCTCAGTGTGTATGCTCTACACTCTCAAAGCTTTACTTCTAGCGGCAGAAGTCTGTGTAACAAGATAAGGTGTATTTTCCCTAAGATCCACCTTCTGTAACCCCTTCTTTCCATTGTGGGGAGGCAGCGTCGCCGTATGTTCTAATTGTCGGACAGAAATACCTTACTGGACTCACACCCCAGTACAATCAGCAGTAAAACATTGTCCTCTAGCCTTAAAATTGGTGCTTTTAGTCTTAAAATCCTTCAACTGACCTTTTTGATATGGTAAGGCTAATATAAGTCTGCCAACTCACCACGGTAGGCCGATTGTTAGCTATATGTCTGGCATTTTAAAATCTAGATTCAAGCATGCGTTACCAATTATCACATTCTATAATGTCATCAAGAAAGTATGATTTTGCTTTTCATCTATAGAAATTTTGAGCTCATGAATTGATCAGTTAAACTACCATTGAAAACTTGGAAGCACTGGACAGATATTCGTTAATTATCTCGAATATAGCTTTGTTAAACTGGTCATGAATAATGTTTACAATAATAGTAAAATTGCATCATATTGAAGTCATCAATTGATCAGTGTTAAACCCATAATGAAAACCTGGAGGCATTGGACGGCCGGTTCGTCCTAGTATGGGACTCCTCAACAGTACACATCCGTGAGAGTCCTGAGTTCAGTTCCCGGGTGAGGGGTTGTGAATGAGCACGGCTAAGAAGTATTATGCTAGGATGGAATGGCTATCCGTTGCTCCCAGGTTTTCAATTTTGGTTAAATTAAGATCAGTTCTTGACTTAAACTATAAAAATTCCGCAATCTCTAAAAATACCCCTATACTAAAAATTCGTATTTCCCACTTTTCAACTCACAAGGTGAACATTTCTAAATTTATGTAGATGTTCTCGATAAAACTCTTCTAGTAATCCACTCCTATTGTAAAAACCGAGATCTTATTCACTTATAAATTAAGCAGTTTTAAAGTTACGAATCCCTCAATTTTCAGCACCGAACTGTCTAGTTTTTATTTGCCAGTTGTACAGACGTTTGAAGATTGTCTTTGACTGAACTAAGGTGTAAGGTTTTTCTTTTCTTTAACTCCATAAATTTGTTTCTGAATACGGATTACCAAAGGTAATACACTTCTTAGGAATATCGACAATCCCCCTCCTTATCAATAACAAATTTAAAGGACATTTGTTCTTAGCGAAATAGAAAACACTGCTAATGACAAGAAACACAATAGTTATTGTGTGGTGAGTAGTTTTTTTCATAGTCAACTGCCCCCCTTCTATCTTCTTTTCTATAGACCTCTTACATCCAACTGATCTGGTCCTGCTTTTATGATCCTTCTGATTACAGATCATCTTTTAATTTATCACACTGACCTTACCCTTTCCAATTACAATGTATCTATTTATTTATTTATTTAAACACATATATATTGGTACAAAAGGGCACCAGGTACATATGCGCCACACAAAATAATGAAAGTAGGAAGAGAAGGGATGAAAAGATAAGGGGGACTGAAATGTACAACCAGAAAACTCTTTCAGTTACGAAAGTTAGAACCACTCTTTATGTAGAAAGTAAAAGAAGGTTGCAGCAGGCTCGCCACTGGCTTCTATTCTGAGCCATATCTGATAACGTCTCTAGACACTGTGTTGCACCATCTCTCGGACCCCAGCCAGGGAGTCGTGAAGGACCAACAGAAGCTAGCCCTTTGCAGCTTTCTTTCATGCCACGACACCATGTCATACACTGACCTCCTCTCCGCTTTTTCCAACCAGTCCCAGGGTCGGCAAATAATGCACGACGTGGAAGTCTCTGGGACGACATTCGTAAAACATGTCCAAGCCACCGAAGTCGGTGTTTCAAAATGGTGACACCAATTGAATTATCGTCTCTGCGCCCGAACACACGATGCCGAACCTCTGCATTACTAACATGGTGTTGCCACTGTATGTCAGCAATCCTTCAGAGACAACGATGATCGAACACAGAGAGACGTCTAACATCCTCAACTCGGAGAGGCCAGGTTTCACAAGCATAGAGCAAAACTGCTCTCACCGACGCGTTGTAGATCCGACCTTTTACAGCCAGACTAACATCACGAAGACGCCAAAGATGGCCCAGATTGGCATAAGCCGCTCTGGCTTTCATTATACGTGCATCAATCTCATCACTCACGCCACCACCAGCACTTATATAGCTACCTAGATACACGAACTTCTCAACTACTTCAATCTGCACACCTTCCAGAGTGAGTACAGGATGAGGATCCTGCCAGTCTTGTAGGAGTACTTTGCACATGGAGGGTACAAAGCACATGCCGTACCTGCGGACACTGATTACCAACTGATTAAGTGCGGATTGCATGCCTTGGGCATTATCGAACAGTAAGACAATATCATCCGCATACTCGAGGTCGAGAAGTCGTTCTCCAGGCAACATATCCACACCGCCATTACTTACATCCATCAGAGCTGTTTCCAGGATGTCATCGATGGCAAAGTTGAAGAGGAATGGTGAGATCGGGCAACCCCGCCTAACCCCACTGCTCGAATGAAACAAGGGAGAAAGGTGGTTGTATGCCCTCACTCTGCCTGAGGTGTTCGTATACAGGGCCTTTAAGATGTTAATGAACTTCTCAGGCACACCCTTCTTCAATAGACAATCCCAGAGAACAGTCCTGTCCAACGAATCGAAGGCCGCCCTGATATCAAGAAACACTACGATTGTTGGCCTGCGATAAGTATGACGGTGTTCTAACATTTGGCGGAGGGTGAAGATGTGATCGATGCATCCTCGACCAGAACGAAAACCAGCCTGCTCCTCGCAAGTCAATCATTCTCGGGTTTTAAACAACCTACGAAGAATGATAGAAGCCAATAGTTTGGACGCAATCGAAAGTAGACTTATCCCCCGATAGTTATTGCAGGAACAACGTGAACCCTTTTTAAAGATAGGGACGACTATTGACTCATTCCAAGATGTTGGAACACTTTCTTGCTCCCAAACCTTACCAAACAACACAGTCAATTCCTTAGTCAGAAAGTCACCACCATCT